GCACAGCACAGCACAGCACAGCACAGCACGGCCACTGCGCGCTGCAACTGCAACTGCACAGCAGCACGGCACGAGCCCGATACGCCCACTCGCAGCCGAAACTCTCATCTGCCGAGACTCGAACCGGCTGCAGCCCGCTTGGAGATGCGTATGCACCCGCCACCCATATCCATCCATCCGACCTCCACCATCCTTCTCCACGTCTTTGACGAACCGTCCATCGCACGTCACCTCCATCCTCACGCATCACCAACAATGTCGGCCAAGGATTACTACGGCGGTCAGGGCGGCGGTACGTATTGACCTTGCCTCCATGCACACACTGCTGTCATTGTCGACCACGCGAGCACTCTTTGGGCGCTCGCCAGCCACACGGGCACAAGGTGCCATCGCTTGCTCGACCACCATCGACGCCTGCCTTGCGCGGCCACGCCTTGCGAGCATCGCGAGTGTCTGCATCATCATCGGACCTTCGTCTCGCCGGGCCAGATCGTATCGCTACTGGACCGCCAGTGGCTCTCCGCGCTCTACCCTTCATCATTCTGCGCTCGCATGCTGCCAGCAAATTTGAACAGACCAACTGACTGCGACGCTCCGTCTCCTTGCCTCTTTGCTTTCATCTCACAGGCTACCCCCAGCAGGGCTACGGCCAGCCTCAGCAGGGTTACGGTCAACCCCAGCAGGGCTACTACCCGCCACCACCCCAGCAGGCCTACGGCGGCCAGCCTCAGCAGGGCTACTACCCGCAGCCCCAGCCCCAGCCCGTCTACGTCCAGCAGCCCCAGAAGAAGGGCGGCGGAGGCGGCCCCGGTGCCTGCTGCGCCTGCTGCGCCGGTATGCTTGCATGCTGCTGTCTCGAGGACCTCTGTCTCGACTGCATGTTCTGAGCACCACAACGCCTCGTGGTTCAGCATGCCGAATTGAACCCGCGCGACCGCTGCTTCAGTCCTTACTTCGGCTTTCGTAGTTGGCCCGAGGTTCAATGGGAACCACCTCTTTTGCTACGACTCTTGTATATACTTCCCATGCCTTTAATGCTTCTCATGATCCACCCACATTATTTGCGCTTTCCTTTCTCAGCCCATGACATCGCTTGGTGGACGCTGCAACCCTCCCAACGACCTTCGGAGACCTTACGCCCAAACATCTTGTCGTTCACAAGAACGGCAAGGTGAACAATGAATGGCGCTTTAGCATGTTAGGCCGACGATTGCAATTGCACGGAGATTTTTGCACTCCACATTCGCAAGTCGATCACTGCGAGAACGCGTGGTGGACTTACGCACAGGCGCTTGGACAGTGTCACATCCGCAGCTGCCGCGTCTCGAAGCTCAGGCCTTGCGGAGGCCAACACTCGACACTACTTCCACCTCCACCATCGCTGCCGTGCTCTTCAGCTCACCCACCTCTCCTCGAAACTTGCCAAGTACTGCACAACAGACTCGGTCGACACGCAGAGCATCCAACTTCCCGCTTAGAAGGTCAACACCACAGCCTGCCGCTGCCGCCGCCATCATGAACTCGATACTCTCGCGCTTCGACCAGCCTACAACCTCGGCCTTTGCCGGCGCCAACGACGCCTTTGGTGGGGATGTTGCGGCACAGGATCAGCTGATGGGCGCCCCGGGCCAGTTTGATCTTCCCAACATGGACCCTGCCACCTTCCTCTCCCAATACACCGACGTCGACTCGTCCAACCCCGCCGCCAAGATCAAGCTCGCACACGGAACTACCACGCTCGCCTTCCGCTTCCAAGGTGGAATCATCGTCTGCGTCGACTCGCGCGCAACCGCCGGCTCTTACATCGCATCCGGCACCGTCAAGAAGGTCATCGAGATCAACCCATACCTCCTCGGCACGATGGCCGGCGGTGCTGCCGACTGCCAGTATTGGGAGACCTACCTCGGCATCCAGTGCCGTCTACACGAGCTCCGCAACAAGGAACGCATCTCGGTCGCTGCTGCTAGCAAGTACCTCAGCAATCTCGTCTACGGATACAAGGGCATGGGCCTCTCCATGGGCACTATGATCTGCGGCTGGGACAAGACCGGCCCCGCGCTCTTCTACGTCGACTCGGACGGCACGCGTCTCAAAGGCGACGTCTTCAGCGTCGGCTCCGGCTCCACCTTTGCCTACGGTGTGCTCGACCAGGGCTACAAGTGGGATCTCACCGATGACGAAGCCCAGGAGCTTGGCCGTCGCTCCATCTACGCTGCCGCTCACCGAGACGCATACTCGGGCAACGTAAGTACTCGAACCGTTCAAGCTGAATCACCTTCGCGTGCTTGCATCCTCACTCACACTCACACTCGCACTCGCCCTCCCCTCTTGACTTTGCTCCTCCCTGCACCGCGAATTCCGCCATCAGACCGTCAACCTATACCACGTCCGCGAGAATGGCTGGGAGTTCATCGACAACTACGACGTTTCCAAACGTGAGTATCGAAGCGCTTGAACGTCCATCATAAAATGCACAGAAACTGACCACTTGTTGCGATCCCTGATCATTCCGATCCTGCAGTGCACTACGACGGGCCCGGAGACAATGTGCCCGGTGCACCTGGCGGAGGATACGGCTGGGAGGTGCGAACCAAGGGTCTCAGCTCCAAGCTCGAAGCTCAGCCAGGACAGAGCCAGGGTGGCCAGGGCGGAAGGTTTGCCGACGAACAGCCTCTCGCCGCACAGGTTCGACCCGAGCAGGCATGATCTCCTGCCCTGCGCGCATGCTCCGACCACATCCATGTATATTACTCACGCTTCCATGGCCATGCAAAGCCGATTCTCTGCACCGACGGCTCCGGACGCACGAGCGCACCTACGGCAGCGCTCGACGGCTGCTCGTCCAAAATGAGTCTGAGGCCTGCTCTCGAAGGCGCACAGACGACCTGGCGATATGAGCCCCGATCCAAACCGGATTGGCCGATCTAGCCACCCGTTCGATACTTCTCGAGTAGCGCCGGAATAGCCGAGTCAAAGTGGCCGCGCGGAGAGAAGATTTGCGGAGGCTCGGCTGTCATCCCCGCATCGGAAATCTCTACGGCGCTCCTAAAGCAGCATCATGCTGCGTCGTGACTCCCCACACTCTCTTGCACGCCGTGCCGTCGCCGTAGCTCGTCGGCGCCGACGAGCGATGCAGGTTGATCCTAGGCGAAGGCCGACGAATCCCAACCAGCTTTCGGCGGTCAGCATGCCGTTACGAAGCCGGCTAGTCGCTCCTGTTTCGCCCCCTCGTCGGGGTTGCCCGGCCTCTGCGAACGTTGGTCACGCTCACTTCGGCTTTGGAAGACCTTCTTGTTGTGGGGATCGACCGGGCTCCACTTCGAATGAGGGCTCTTCCATGCCGGATACCCTGGCACTCGTACTCGCTTAACGATCTGCTCTCCACCCTTCCTCTCCTTGGCAGAGGAGACGGCACGGGGGAGCACAGATTGCCTCCTTGCTCCTGCATGGTGGTGATGCTGTGCCCGCCTCACCGAGCATCGTCTGAGACACGCTCTCGCCAACAGAGGATCTCGGGGCTCCGCATTGGCGACGGCACCTGTGGCGAGCATGTATAAGAAGCCCTGCCCCCGCACCTTCTATCCGGCTTGCCCTCTCCCCGGAACACTTCAACCTCCTCCGCCATCATGAAGCTCAACCTCTTGACGCTCTTGCCGCTCGCTGCCGCAGCCATCCAGACAGTGAAGGCAGCTGCTACCCCCTTGCGTCGCGATGACTGGCCGCACGGTCCCTTCCACACCGAGGGCAACCAGATCAAGAACGCCAATGGCGAGTCCGTCATCCTCGTCGGAACCAACTGGCCTGGCTCAGGCGAGACCATGATCCCCGAAGGCATCGAGTTCCGCTCCATCGCCGACATTGTCAGCATGATGAAGTACGTCGGCTACAACTTTGTGCGTCACACCTACCCGATCCAGATGGTCGACCAGATCTACGAGAACAACGGCACCGACATCACCGTGCAGTCCGCACTGCTGTATGCCCTCGGCGAGGACAACGGCACCCGCATCATGGAGATGATCAACAAGAACAACCCGCAGATCACCAACTCGACCACGCGCTTCGAGGTGCTCTCCATGATCGCCGAGGAGGAGAAGAAGCAGGGCATGCTCATGCACCTCGACAACCACATCAGCCGAGCCATCTGGTGCTGCAGTCACGACGATGGCAACGCCTGGTTCGACGACGTCGACTTCAACGTCGAAAACTGGCACCGCGGTCACAGCTACATGGCAAACTGGGCCAAGAAGCACTCCAACATCGTCTCCATGTCGTTGCGAAACGAGCTGCGCAAGTCGGCGCTCCGTCCGCTCGACTACAACTGGCAGACGTGGTGGGGCAACGTCTCGGCCGCGGCCGAGAACATCCACGCCACCAACCCTGATCTGCTGATCACCATCAGCGGCCTCGACTACGACATTGACCTGTCGGCACTCACGACGCAGGCCAACCTCCTCGATGCACCCTACGTCAACACCGACATGGACAAGATCGCCAACGCCGAGTCCATGCCACCCCAGTACGCCGATATTGCCAACACCAAGTTCGGCAAGGCCAACAAGGCGGTGCTCGAGCTGCATGCGTACAAGATGTCGACCTACTACCAGGACCACCTCGAGGACTGCGACGCCATCCAGACCGGTCTGTACCGCTTTGGCTTCAACGCGCTCGGCGAATCGGCGCGTCCCGAGGCGTGCAACAACTCGACCGACTTTGCCGACCCTTACAGCTGCCCCTCGGCCAAGATCACGCTGCCCACGCTGCTCACCGAGTTTGGCGATGCGCAAGACTCGAGCTACGCCAACGTCACCATGCAGAAGTGCCTGCGCGACTTTACCACCAAGAACAAGATCGGCTGGGCACACTGGGCGCTCGCAGGAAGCTACCGCATCCGCCAAAACGTCGTATTCAACAACGATACTTGGGGCCTTACTACGCCGACTTGGAGTGGCTATCAGAGCCAGGACACCGTGGACAACTTCTTCCGTCCGTGGATTCAGGACATGGGCAAGACCAACCTCGAGCTTTGACATGCTTGCACGTAGCAGAAGTAATCGAAAGTGCTGATAAAGCATCCTTGCGTTCTGAGAAGTTCCATGCGTGTCGAGGAGTGACTGTGCTGTTCACGAATCCGACGTCACGGACAAAATCTGTGGAAGGAGCGTCTCGACGGGGCCGACAAAGTGCCAGTCCACATCGTCGCGTTCATTGTCCGATGGCTCTTCGATGTTAAAGACTGCGACCTGGCCGTGGTTGGAGTGCTTGACGATCTGTGCAAGACCAGCGGCAGGGTAGACGGTCGAGGAGGTGCCAAGCACGAGGATGAGGTCGCACCTGGAGATGAGCGGTTGAATGCGATCGAGCTCGGGGATCGACTCGCCGAACCAGACCACGCCAGGTCGCAGCAGTCCGTTGCAGCCGGATCGGGAGCAGCGCGGCAAGTGCTCGGTCGGGATGGCTCGATACTCGCCCGAAAGATCTTCGGCCCCACGCAGGGCTGGACACAGCGGATCGCGCAAGTCGATGCGCGAGTCTCCACAGGAAGTGCAGATCGTCTTGAAGAGGTTGCCATGCATCTCGAGAATCGAGCCAGCTGTTGCAGAGGGGAAGGACTGTTCCGACGGCGCAAGTTCTTGCAGCGCCCGACCCGACAGACCATCAACATTCTGGGTGACGAGGTGGAAAGATTGAGCGTTGGGTAAAAGCTGCTCTCGCAAGGGACTCTGCATCATGAGTTTGGCCAGCGTCTTGTGGGCAGCATTCGGCGACGCAGCGAGGACAACAGATCGACGGTAGTGATAGAATTGCCAGACCTTGCTCGGATCTCGCTTGAACGCCTCTCTGTGGATCGATTGGCGATGAATCGTTGGGAGGGTGAGCTGATAGCACGAGTGTGGAGTAGCATCCATCGCGACACGGTACTGCCGCACAATACTCACGGCGTTGCTAGAGACAGTGCATCATGTGAGCGCCACAGACCTGATTACCACGCGGTACAGAAAGAACGACATTAGCGGACAGAATGGCGCGAGGATCTTGGCAGGGCTACTCACCTCCCGCACCACGGAAGGTTGGGATGCCACTGGCAGCGCTCAAGCCTGCACCAGCGAGGGCGATTGGATGACGCGCTTGCTGCAGTGCCTGTCGGAAGGACTCTGCTGCGGCTCCCATGGCGTCGTCAGCGACGAGCATAGACGCAGGGCGGCACTGGCTCGTGGTGCGTGTACCGTCGAAATTCACGTGGCTATCTGTGACAGTGTTCGGTAAGGCCTGTCAACGAGGCGTGGAAGGACGAAGCTTTGAGTTTATGCGGAATGCGTCCCCTTTAGACACCGAACACGTCGTAGAAGGCAGGCTGTCCGCGGTTACTTGCGACCGTTGCTGGGCTTCAGGGAGGCGTGTGAGTCGGGGCGTTCGGAGGTTGTTCGGGAAGCTTCTGCACGTCTGCTATGGCGTGCAGCTGTTCGGAGTCGGTTGATCTGAGGATCTGCAGTCGAAAGCAAGCCAGGACTGGCCGTGGGGTCGCGCACACGGCTCGTGGTGCAGGTGGCTTGAGCGCAAGTGTGCAACGTGGGCCGAGAGTGCGCCTCAATTCTGACAGCTGGCCATTTATTTATGCAGGGACGCGTGTGCCAAAATGAAAGCCCCTACTGCCACGCGGTGCTGCAAGCCAGGTTTGCTGGTGCAGTGGACCCAAACTGAGCGTCGTGACGCAACGGTAGCCGCATTCACTCGCCTCAATCTCATAGCGCCACGGTCGAGAGGCGGCACAACATGTCGAAGCAAGAGGTCGCCACCAACCAACTTTGAGGTCGTATGCTGTCCCTCGTTGTCCAAGTCCGTCGCGTGACATGCACCTCTCCCACCTAGCTGCCACGGCTATCTCGGACGTCCCTTGACCTCTGAGCCCTATTTTCCTGTGTCTATTCATACCGTTGCTTCGCCTCGCGCTGCGATCAGGAATGATTCCGATGTTCTTCTAGAAATCAAGGCTGGCTCCCACGCCATTCTCTCCATCAGCAGGCGTTCAAAGATCCGCCACCACGCCCCATCCCGCCACATTGTTCATGCATATGTGCCTGCTCGATCAAGTATCGAAGGCTCTCCTATGATTCGCTTGACATGGCTCACGCTTGGTCGGATCTCTCGGCTTGTGACTTCAGATTCCATTCCGGCTCTCGAAGGCAGGAACGAGAACCTGTGGAGACTTGGAGACTGACCCTACAGACTGACCCAATGGTTCTGCGGCATACACGCCGTCAGTTCACTCTCAAATGGGATCCGAGATAAGGAACCACTGAAAGACAGCACCAACTCAAAATTCACCTCCCACCACGCTCGCCTCCTCTCCATCAACTCCATCTCCCTACCCTTCGTCTCACAAAGCTTGGAAACATCCCTTCCTCCGAGTGCAGTCATGGTGGCCAACATATTCCTATCCACGGTGCTACGATCGAGGGATGCTGCTGCAGACGAGCAAGGAGCTGCCGCTGCGGCCGCTGCTGCCATGGCTGCTTGGTCGGCTGGTATTGCCTATGCGATCAACTTTATCATTCTCTACGTCATCATGTCGCTGCTCGTCGTGGTGGTTGTTGGTGTCATGGGCTGCGTGGCATCCCCGCGCATCCGCAAGTCGCCGACGTACATCATACTCGCCATCTCTGCCGCACTCTGCATCTGTGCGCTCGGCGTCAATGTCTCGATGAACAAGGAGCTCGTCGTCAACCCTCAGAAGCCGTTCAACGCCCAAATCTACACCTCGATGATTGCCCTCTCTATGAGTAAGTGCCGAAAGAGCTTTCCCACCAGGACTTTCGGCTTACACCTGCACTTTGCTTACACGCCAAACTCTCTGTTTTGCTCCAATTTTCGCCTTTGCTGCTGTAGCCATCCCCTTCCTCGTCGACTTTACACTCATTTTGCGAATCCTCGCCTTTTTCCCCGTCACCTCTGCGGCCGCCGCGGGACGAAGACAATGGAAGCGATGGGCCGCCATCGCATTCCCCGCCTTGATCAAGATCCCTCGCATCGTTCTCATCTGCCACTACATCCGGTTCGTGCACGACTGCGCTCTGCGTGCGTCCGACATGGCCACTGTTGTGACCATGGTCAATCAGAAGCAGTATGCGCTCATCGAGTGGACACTCATGCTCGCCGACGGCCTCTACTGCACCATCTTTTTCTGCGTCAAGCTATACGAGCTGGGCTGGGGCTGGGGTGAAGACAAGCACGTCTCGCGCAGCTTCCTCGAGACGCTTCGCAGGATCTTGATCAGCGCCTTTGCCTGCTTCGTCCTTCCATCGTTCCTGCTCGTCACGCTCATTGTGATGCAAGCTACCCTGTACCGACCCGACATCGAAGGCTACGTCTTCGTCACGTTCATCCCCATGACTGTTATCAGCGCCGCCTCCGGTAAGTCCAGAGAGGGCCACGGGTCCCGAGCGATGCGACACCTAACGACGGACATGAGCTGATTTTTTGGCTCCAATTTATTCTGTGCCATTTTTTTTTCGCATTTTGCGGCTCAGCTACGTTGTGGCCTGCCATTCGGGCTGAGCAACACCGCAGAAAGATGCTCGTGGCCCCGATCCACACGCTGCGTAGCCAGGGCCCGCCGACCAAGTTCCTTACGCCCCAGCGCAGCTTCGACACCGACGACGAGAAAGACTTTGACAAGGTGACGCCCGATGTCGAACTGGGCGAGCTGGAGCACACCGTGGTGACTCCCGTCAAGCGCAGTCAGGATCAGCTCAACGCCCGAGCTCGCACCATGACGGGCGACCGGATCGATGCCGGGCGCGACACGGACTTGGGCGGAGCAACGACGCTGCAGCACCTCGGAAGGCCGCAAAACCCGCTCCGCCACGCTCCCGATGTCAGCGGAATCGCAGTGACCACGGTCACCGAAGAGAAGTGGAGCGAGGCTTGAACTCGTCTTGGACACTCTTCACTCGTTGCTTACGATCTCTGTCTGTTAGTTTCACACATGTTGCGTTTCTCTGCTCGAAGAACTCTGAGAGTCTTCGTGTTTCTTGGCTTTACGGAGAATTTGGATATGATTGCGCCCACGGCTTGTATCTATGATTGCGATTCCGATCCGACAAGGCAGAATGATTGAGGTTGATGCTGTCTCAGGCTCGAGGCTTCCTGCTGCGAGTAGTCTTTCTAGAGGATGGTTCCCTCAACGATGAAGAACGCGAACGAGTGCTTCTGGATGGGCTGCTGCGAGCCCTTGTCAGCCCACTCCTTGCCGCTGTACTTGGTGACCTGAGGCACCACCACGTTGGGCTGCTCGAAGGTGTTTTTCGCCAACAGGTCGTCGCTGTAGACAACATGAGATTCGACGCTGTCGATCTGGAAGCCGTCGAAGCTGATTTGGCCGGTCCAGTCGGCGGTAGGGTGGCGGTTGAGCACGCTGAGGCGAATGCTGGCGCGCTTCGAGCCAGGCTGCTCGACAATCATGGCGACACAGTCGACGTAGGCTGGCTTGGAGATGTGCTGGATCCACTCGGGGTACGTTGGTCCCTCGCTAGAATGTGGCAAGACAGAAACACGCGTGGAACGGATCAGGTCAGTACGTGTCCCGTACTCCACGGTCACAAAGGCAAAGTGACTTACTAGGCATCCGGGGTGAAGCCCAGGTTGAGCAGGCGGCCGTTCTTCATGTACTGGGCAAAGAGTCGCAAGGGCCAATAGGTGGTCTGGAAGAGAAGGCCGTCGGGGCTGGTCATGAGTGGAGAGATGACGTTGACGCTCTGGGCGATGCATGCGATGCCGACGTCCTTGGACTTGCGCACGAGGATGTTGAGCCAGGCTACGACGCCGAGCATGTCGTTGAAGTCGTAAGCCTGCTCGAGACCCTGGGAGCCGGGGGCCTTGACCTCGTCCCAGACGTTCCATTCGTCGTAGCAGATCTTGACTTCGCGTGCGGCGACCTTCTGGTCGCGGTTGTTCCAGTCAAGGAGCGATTGTGCCTTGTCGATCTTGGCCAGGTCGATTAGCGAGGCACAGATCTCGATGCCGCGCTCCGCTGCGGCGGGACCAAAGACGTTCTTTTCGAATTCAAAGCCCTGAACGGTGCTGTAGTGCTCGTGGCCGAGCATGGAGTAGAGGTGGATGGAATGGAAATCGACCACGCCGATGAGGCCGTTGAGCACCTCGCGATCCCACTCCGAGTTGCCCTGGTTTCCGCACGAGACGAGCTTGATAGAAGGGTCGACGAGCTTCATGCCGTGCGCCCATCGTTTTGCCATCTTGGTGTAGTCGGTGGCGTTGAGGAAGCCGACCTGCCAAGGGCCGTGCATCTCGTTTCCAAGACCCCAGTACTTGACGTTGTGCGGCTCGTCGCGGCCAGTGTTCTTGCGGCGCAGGTTGGCCCAGTAGGTGTCACCGGTGCCGTTGCAGTATTCGAGCCAAGAGAGCGCCTCTTCGTAGGTGCCGGTGCCCATGTTGATGCAGAAGTAGGGCTCTACTTTGAGCCTGCGGCAGTAGTCGATGAACTCGTCTGTGCCAAAGTGGTTGGATTCGGTCGAGAGCCAGGCGAGCTCGATGCGCTTGGGGCGCTGCGAGATGGGACCGATGCCGTCCTGCCAGTGGTAGTTGCTAACGAAGTTGCCGCCTGGCCATCGGAGGATGGGCATCTGGAGTTCGCCATCGCTGGCAAGGATGTTGGCGACGTCCTTCCTCCAGGCTAGGCGGCCTTTGGTGCGTTCGTCGCCGTTGTCTTGGACCTCGAGGATGGAGGCTGGGCTGGGCTTGGCGGGGTTGTCGACGATGCCGCCGTAGATTCCGCGGCCGAGGTGTTCTACGAAGCCCGAGTAAAGCTTGTCGGTGACGAGTGGCTCGGAGCGCGGGTGTGTGAGGGAGTGCGGGTGGATGCGAATGGGTTCGGCGGAGAGCTGAGCGGGATGTTGGAAAGAGTGCTTTTGGAGCTGCTTGGGCGCCTCATCGGCAGCTGCGTATGGGTTGACACCGGCCATGTTGGGAGGATGTCTTTGTGCCAAAGGTGGTGACAATGGCGATGGTGAAGGTGGAGGTCAAGGTGAAAGTGACGGGAACGGGGAAGATGACGGGAAGAGCAAGAGATGGGCGGCGAGCGGTTGCACTTGATTATGAGGCAAGGTCGAATCGCGATGTGTGCGAAGCTTTGCCCTACAGATTGCCGAAGGGCGGAGTGTGGACTGTTGCGGAGATGTGCGACTGGACGTGCGAGCACGGACCGAGCGGTTGTGTCCGATAGGCTCGAGCTTGCGGAGGGAGCGGAGGGGAGGCTGGTGAAAGGTCGTGTCCGACACGAGCTTGTCGGCTCAACTTGAGGCGAATGTGTTGCATTCGGCTGGAGGAAGAGAGTTAGCCGAGTGCGGAGGGAGAAAGACTGAATTGACCGAGGGTGCGCGTCTCAGCTCGAATGGACCCCGACTTTTGACCGAAGCGGGTGTGGAGAAGTGTTCGGCAATCTCGAGATATCCGGAGGGGAATAGGAGAGCGCACACTTGCATGCGTGCGTGCATGTGTCGACGAGGGGCGTGTCCTTGCAGACATTCACGCAAATCCAAATCCAGACGGACGACTCTGAGCGGAACGGGACGAGCGCACGCACACCGGGAAGCGAATGCGGAGCGGAGGACGTGCTTGGACATCGCTCGTGCTTGGACATCGCTCGTGCTTGGACACCGCTCATTCGCTGTCTGAACCGAGCCCGACATTTTTGGCTTTCGCAGACGCACAAAGTCTCCCGAGCCGAGCGGCCACATGTGTGTGCGCTAGTCAAGGTCACACGTGCAGAAGGCAACTCGTGTTCAGGCACGCTTTGCGGAATGGTCCCGTACAACTTTGGAGGCGCGTTGCGAGCAGGTGTGCGAACGAGAGCGTTGCATCTTGCCCAGGGTCTAAGAGTCGTCGTGCGCGCACACAGAGATTGCCGAGCTCCGGAATTATATCCACGACTTCGGTACAGGGCAGCTACTGCACTGCAAACCGCCTCCTTGCCTGATCGGATCGTAACGCAGGCCATGCGAGAGGCCACACGAGGTCGTACGACTCATCAGCACGAGACCAACAACTTGAGCCGGAATAGCTGGTGGGTGTAAGCGTGGCACAATGAGGCATGGCACTTGGCCTCGCAAATCCAACGGCTTTCGTGGGATGATTGCCGAGTCGGAGTGCCAAATTCCGCTCGCAAATCTCTGCGTGTCCAATTAGCGCCGCCCACGAGCCTCTGCAACACGTCAAAAAATTGGAACAGATTCCCGGTCCCGACTGACGGTATTCCTGTACGACCTTCCGCGGTCCAACGTAGGTCGCCTCGCGCTCTCGTCAAGGACAGCCACAGTAGCCTCCGATCGTAGTGTGCACCTGCTAGCAAAGCATGTCTCATGTCGCCCTGAGTGTGAACGGAATCCTGATTCAATTGCGGGGGAGGGGTTCGCTCATATCCCCACATGGGCTCGTCAGGCACGCGCAACACATGTCCATCGTCGCTCGCCGGAAATCTCGCTCTCGGAGCTTGAAATGCGCTCTACTCTCGCACAAACACGCCCCTCCTCCGCCTGAGCGGAATTCCCACTGGCACTGACTCAGACCCGCAGCGTAGTCGCACACCGCGAAACTCTCCGGCTTTGCATGCTTCTTTCCCGCGCGCCATGCCCTACTCCATGTCCGGAGCAACTGCAACGCCCTCCTCGCATTCGCTCCCCCCGCCCATGTCTCGCTTGCAATCGCATCGCTTCATCTGGCATCGCTCGCAGTCCACCCGCTCGTGCAATGTGCCTGAAATCTCATCCCGGAACCCGCGTCGGCCGCGACTCGCGCCGGTGCGACAATCGACCCCGCTTCCCCACCTTGCACACCTCTGCGGGCCCCCACTTTTGCACATACTCAGCCTCCTCGCTTCCACTGCAACTTATAACCCCCCCACCATTCATGAGCTCCTTCCACCCCTCCCCACCCATCTCCTCCATCGCATCCTACCCCGCATCGCCTCTGAGCGCCTCGTGACTCCTTTCCGTCCCACCCGCCCCCCACTCCTGCGCAGCCCCGCTCCGTCTCGCCTGCCATGGCGCTGCCTCCCAAGCTCTACACCTGGCTTTGCGGCTGTTTCGCCGCCCTCGGTTCCATCCTCTTCGGTTATGGTACGTGCCGACAATCGAGTGCCACCTCGTGCCGCCTGGTTTTTTTTTGTTTTTTTTGTTTTTTTTTTGGGCATCGCGCTGACGCCTTCTGACACCTCCTTCTTTTCATACGATAGATCTTGGTGTCATTGCCGGTGTCATCGTCGCACCCGACTTCCTTCGCGTCACCAAGAACCCCAACTCGGACTACATCGGCTTCATCGTCAGCTCCATGCTCCTCGGCGCCTTCGTCGGTTGCATTCCCGCCTCGCTCATCGCAGATGCTTTCTCCCGACGCTTCGCTATTATGGTCGGCGCCATCGTCTTCATCCTCGGCGGTGTCCTCCAGACCGCTGCCGCCAACCAGGGCATGATGATGGCCGGTCGCTTCTTCGCAGGCGTCGGAATCGGCATGTTGTCTCTTCTGGCTCCGCTCTACCAGTCCGAGATTGCCCATCCCTCGATCCGTGGTCGACTCACAACGCTTCAGCAATTCTTCCTCGGCATCGGCGCGCTCATCGCAAGTTTCGTCGTTTACGGCTGCAGTCTCCACCAGGCGGGCACTGTCTTCCAGTGGCGCTTCCCGCTCGGCCTCCAGATCGCTCCTGCTGTGCCTCTGGCTTTCCTGATCATGCTCTTCCCCGAATCGCCGCGTTGGCTCATGTCCAAGGGTCGTGAGGAGGACGCGCTGCGCTCGCTCGCTCGCCTTCACGCTCGCGGCGACACCTCGGATGTCTTTGTCCGCGCCGAACTCGCCGAGATCAAGGCTCAGCTCGCCATCGAGAAGGGCACCTCCAGCGGCTGGAGTGAGATCTTCAACAGCAGCCAGAACATCCGAAAGGTCGCCATCGGAGTTATCCTCCAATTCTCGGTGCAGATCACGGGTGTAGCCGCCATCCAGTACTACGCTCCCACGATCTTTGGCGCCTTCGGTTACAGCGACTCCAAGGTCTTCCTCATTCAGAGCATCAACTCGATCGTCGCACTCGTCGGAGAGGGTGCTTGCGTGCTCTTTGTCGACAGGCTCGGCCGTCGATGGCCCCTGATCACCTGCAACGCCATCGCGGGCGCATGCTTCGCCGTCGCCACTGCTCTCCAGGCTCGCTACCCGGCCGGCAGCCCTGACTTTACCACGGGTGCTGGATACGCCTTCATCGCTATGATCTTTATCTTCAACTTCGCCTTCTCTGCCGGTATCGGACCCCTGTCTTGGGCGGTCCCCGTGGAGATGTTTGGCACGTCGATCAGGGCTAAGGGTACGGCGCTGACGAGCATCAGCTGCTGGGTTGCCAACTTCATGATCGGACAGGTTACGCCCAAGGCGCTCGAGAGCGTGGGCTGGAAGTACTACATCCTGTTCGCTGTCGGTGGCTTCACCAACGCGCTCACCTTCTGGCTCATCCTTCCCGAGACCAAGGGCCGAACGCTCGAGGAGATGGACCGCTTCATCGAGAGCACGCCCTGGATCGTTGCTTTCCACGACATGAAGGTGGTGTCGAGCAAAGAGCGCGAGGACGAGCTGCGCCGAGGCGTCGTCCACGCACCCCAGGCCGAGTTCCTCGAGACCGGCAGCCAGGAGGAGAAGTTCGACGGCCTCAAGACCAGCAGCCACGACCACGACCTCGAGAAGCACTGATCCTTCGAGATCCCACCCGCTGTTCCCGCAGCACGCACTTCTTTCAGATACCAATGTCTCACTTTGTCACGATCTCGCAAATGAAACTCATACAACTCTCCAGAGCCACTTTGCAGCTATGATAGCAACGTCATCTTTTCAAGTTTGTGCCATGTTTCCCGTGAACTGTATTCTGCGCGTCCAATTGCGAATTCTGAGGCATCGCCACTGTTCCGACCAGAACCGCAGTACAGACCATAAAGGCGCGTTGGTAATGTGCTTACGACTCAGATACATACCGTATGGAGCGACCCTGAGAGCCGCGATTCATGTCATCGAGCTGTGGAAGCAGATACGGCGCAATCCTAGATTTAAAACTTTAAAGATTCTAGCGAGCTGCTGGCTTGACCAGGCCGCTGCTGCCACTTCTCGCGTCCCGCTGGTATGACGAGCGAAATTCGATGGAACTGCAACACGCTGAGGACCCAATCTTGCACACCGGGAGAACCTCGGCGGGTTGTCATTGCTACAATGGCTCGCTTCTCGGCAGGAGGTGTCCCGACTCGGGGAATTGCCGACAAGGTGGTTCGGTCGGGCGAACGCAGAGCGAGAGAATGCCGCGGCGGACTCTCAACCTTGGTTTTGCGAGCCAATTGCGATGCAACTGCGATGCACGTCGGCTCACCGCGTCGCTTTCAACACCCTGGGGCTTCCGAAGCACCTCAACTAGATTGCCGAGACACACTGCAAGAATGCCGGCCACGTGGATTTCCTGCTCTCCAACTGCGCCTCCGCTCCGGGAATCTTGTCCTCCACTAATGCCGTCGTTGCCGGGGTTCATGTCGGCGTTGCCCAGGGCATTTAGCGCTAAGAGTTCTCCGCAGGCGCCAAGCTTGTCGAAGGGGTTGCAATGTCTTGTTGGCCGATCATGCAGATGTTTGCGAGATCCCCGTCCAAATCCCCGGATCGGCCCTACCACACTGCTGGTTTTCGCTCCAACTGAGCTTGTGGGGTCGGACGTGGGGCTCCTCGTTCCACCGACACTCGCGCTCTCGCGCTACCAGCTCCGAGGCTCGCTTGCATCAGACCCTGACTTGGCGGTCGCTGCCATGCAAGAGGCTCCCTTGCTGCAAATGCACAGCATCGTGCGAAAATGGTCATGTCGTTGTCATTGGTCCACCCACCCGCGCTGCGACTTGTGCCCACCCCGCATAACGTGGCTCGGCAATCCACAGCTCCTCCCCACGCGCACTACTGCAAACTTCTTCTTGAAGCGCCCACATAGTCTGTCACTCTGCACCATGCTCCTCATCGGCCACGACGGTCGGCCGTGGCGACACCATGCACCCGTCCACAATCGACTGCATAGGCTCGGAACAGATTAGCGCAAGGTACATGCCCAAGAGCTTGGTCTCTGCGAGCATCGCCTGACGCAGCTGAGACCGAGTGACGGCAAAGCACGCTGTTCTAGCCGAACCCTCCACCCAGCTCGCTAAACGTGTGGGTTACCAGCACTGCGGCTCAGCATATCCCCAACAGCCCACCTTTGCGATCCACCCTCACAGCCCATCAACCGACCCATTCCAGCCCGTGTGCGCAACTCGCTAGAGCGAGCAAAGATATATATGCACGTCCAAGCGTGGTCTTTGCCGCTCCATCCTTCATCCCAGCTCAAACTTACAAAGCCCAGACCACTTCTGGAGCTCTTTCCCTCCATCCTCACCATACCCATCACGCCCACGACCTAACGACCATCTGACGCCTCTTCACCATGCGCTTCTTTGCCAAGGCCCTCGGTCTCGTGTCTCTGGCACTGTCGATCGCAAATGCTTCTCCCCTTCAAAAGCGCGATTTCGGCCCGGTCACCGTCTACACGCCTGGTAGCAACTACACTAGCGACCGTTCGCTTTACGGCAGATCCCTCATGCTCACCGTCAATGATGTATGTGCCACCCTACGAAGGAGGCCGAGGAGCTCACTTGCTGCATTTTGCGAATTCTGACGAAATCCTTGCTCCGCTTGCCCCTCTGCATCCTCGTGTCTTCAGAACTCCGGAACTCTCCTGACTACTTGGGAGAACTACTCTGGAGGCAAGACCTGGTTCCCTATCTACCGATCCACCGACCACGGTTTCACCTGGTCGCCCTTCTCGACCGTTACGGATCAGGTCAACGGCTGGGGTCTTCGATACCAGCCATTCCTCTACGAGCTCAAGCAGAGCTTCGCAGGCTACCCCGCCGGATCCATCCTCCTTGCCGGCAACTCCATCCCCGCCGACCTCTCCAAGACTCAGCTTGATCTGTACATCAGCACTGACAAAGGGTACGTTGCATTTCGTCCTCTTGTGGTTTCTGAATCCTTTTACTCAACGTCAACCTTGCCTCACTGTGATCCGCTCGTTTCTCGCTTTGCAGAAAGACCTGGAAGTTCCTGTCGCACATTGCTGCCGGTGGCGTCGCTCTGCCCAACAATGGCGAGACCCCAGTGTGGGAGCCTTTCCTTCTCGTGAACAACGGCCAGCTGATCTGCTACTACTCCGACCAGCGCGACCCCAAGTACGGTCAGAAGCTCGTCCACCAGACCACCACGGATCTCAAGAACTGGGGCCCTATCGTCAACGACGTCCTTGCACCTGCTTACGCTTCTCGCCCCGGTATGCCCGTCGTCGACAAGATGGGCAACGGCAACTACATCATGACCTACGAATACGGCGGAGCGCCCGAGGGCGACTTCTCCGTCTACTACAAGATCTCCAACGACCCCTTCAGCTGGGCCGACAAGCCAATCCAGGTGCTCAAGGCCAACGACGGCACCGTCCCGCGCGGTAGCCCTTACGTCATGTGGACTCCGATTGGCTCCAGCTCTGGAGCCACCGCCAACGGCACCGTGGTCGTCAGCGCCAACTCCGAAACCGACCTCTTCATCAACCGTGCAAACGGCGCTCCCAATGCTTGGAAGCGTCTCTCCGTGCCTAATGCGCCTGCCGCCTACTCTCGCTCCGTCACGAAGGGCTTCAACCCCAAGGACATTGTCATCGTTGGCGGAGGTCTGCTCGGTCAGGGCTCAACCAACCGCGTGACCTTCAGCGCCCGCGACGTCAATGGTTGCAGCACATGCTAAACGAATGCTTCTTTCTGAAGGACACGGAAACGCCCCGAACGATCTCAGCTCAATCCCGATCTTTCAGTCCACTTTGTTGGTAGAATGGGAATACAATTGTGGATCAAGGAGACTCAGCTCTGACAGCTCAGTCGAACCTATATCTGGGTGAAGGCTGCCACCAGGACTCTAATGGTAATGAGTACAAATACATTGGGCGCGCAGGTGTTCGATAGGAGTGAATCGAGCGCGTCGATCAGGACTGGCATCTTGGATACCTCAAAAGTCGACCTGTCCGATAGTGGCGTCGAGGAGCACGCCGACGCCAAAGAAGATGCTAAAGACGTCGCCGCCGAGCCATCTGCGCCGGTCTGCCACCGTCACGGAGGCGTGAGCGGCAGATGCCATCCCAGAGTCGTGCTCGTCTCGGTTGGTCTGACCGCCGATCTTTTCGTAGCTCGACTTGACGAACCAGGCAAGGTTGGAGGCGAAGGTCGAGCTGTCAAGCTGGCTGATTTGTTCGAAGCGCTTGCTGCACAGGTAGATGAGCTCCTGAGTTGAGCGTGTGAGCTCGGCGTCATGGTAGTCGACCAGCACAGCAGCAGCGGTCGCTGCGTAGCCGAAACGGCGCAGAAGATAATCGGGCGCGTACAGGAGCGCGCCGCTGATTTCTGGATCGGTGAAGATGTCCAAGAGGACCTGGCAAGCTTGGCGAATCTCGTGCCTGTACGCAGCGACGAACCTCGCGGATTCTTCGTCGTAGCGCATGTCGTATGCCGCCCCGCGCTCAGAAGCGTGAGCCTTTGACGGACGGCCCATCTCGGCAGATCTGAGAGCGATAGACGCGAGGTAGATCTGCAGCGTCCAGCGGTCAACGAGACCGACGATCCTCTCTAGGCGGCTGCAATCAGTCTCGGCTGACAGCCATCGCTTTTCCACATCGAAAAGTTGCGACTGGAGATACTTGAAGCGATCCCAGTCGTGAGTGAGGTTGGGGCGCGGAGCCGGTGGAGCGGCCTCGAGAGCTGCCAGTGGCGAGTTCGACGAGACCTCGCCGAGCCACACCTGCAGCTCCTTGACGATGGGCAGGACGCGCACGAGATAGGGAGTCGGGATCGAGCTACGCGAGGGTCGCGGTGCCTTGGACAGAGCGAGGTCGTGATCGCTTAGGTCCATGCCTTTGCCGGTGTCAATTGCTGCAAGCGCCTCGAAAGCCCTGGAGCATGTCCAGACCGACGAGAGGCGATGTGGATGGCTGGGTGGTGTCCGTTCGCCGTTGATGGTGCTGATCTGGGTGCGTCTAGCGACGCTCTGCAGCAAGTTGGAAGCGTGGCCCGATAGCGACTTTTCGTCGGGACAGCCCGGGAAAGCCTGAGGCCAGTACGCAATGAGAAGGATGGCCTGAACGGAACCGATTGTGGGTTCGGAACTGCAAACTTGCGAGCCCATCTGTGAGAGCGCATACGATGCCAGCCCAGTGTGGGTCTCTGAGCGCACTGTAGGACTGTTCTTTCCATGCGAGTCGTGGTACAATGATCCGATGGCGAGAAGAACCGAAAGCAGAAAGGGCTCTGTAGCAGCCAGGCTCGAGACGCTGACTTTTTCGTCCAGCTCGAGGAAGGGTGCAAAGACGTGGCAGTAAGTGAGGAAGAATTCGAGGAGCACCTGTCCCAGCTCGATGGTGATGAAACCGGCGTCGATGGGATCGCAGATTGGTGTGCGCCGAGCGCCATTGCTGTTTGACCAGGCGGAATCGTGCTGGACGGGTGCCGAGGCATGCGGCTGAGAAGCTGCCACTCCGTGAGAGGATCGAGGCGGCGCGGAATGCTCAGCCTCGCCATTGAGCTCCTCACGACTGGTGCGTCGCTGGTGGTGCGACAAAGACTGAAGAGGCACGCTCGCCTCCGAGGCGCCATCCTGCAGCTCGTCGACTTCGGCATCGGAATCGTCGGGGGAGTCTGCGCGTGCCCGCTTGCGTTCTGGCTTGTGCGGAGAAGCGGCGGATCGAGAGGAGGTGGGTCGGCCGGGATTGTAATGGTTTGAGCGATCGAGCGGTGCTGGATGGCCTTCGACGCGCTCTACGAGGCGAGAGACGGTGCGTTCAAGCAAGTCGATCCTTCTCACCGCGTCCGGAAGCGAGTATCCGAAGCGGTCGGAGGGGTGGTGGCTCATGGCCTCGCGATGCTGAGGGCCGAGGTGCGAATGGCTCAAGAAGCGTGACCTGTCGCTGGTGGCTCCGTCTGGCCTGGACGATGCGTAAGGAGGCAGCGCCGGGCCGTGAGATGGAATGCCGCTGGGAGTGAGCTGAGAGTTGGGATGCGAATGTGGGTGCGCGGCGATTGAAGATGTGTAGGAAGCGGTGTGTGCCTTTGCGTCGCGGTCGTCCGAGTTGACTCTGTTGGAGGAGGGGGTGCCTGCGTTGGTTTCGGAGGGCTCCTTGCAGACGAGCTTGAGTTTGAGACAGCGCGCGCAGGGGAAGACGCCGTCGCACTTGAGCTTCTGACCGCGGCAACGGATGCAGGCCCTCTGAGAGCGTTTGCGCTTCTTGGCTTCGGGCTCGGCATCCTTGGAGGAGGCAAGTGCATCGATGGTCTCTTTGGAGTCCGACAGCGTCATCTTGTCTTCCGGGGAGACGGAACGGGGGTTCGGTGGGGTGGTGGGAGGCGGAGGAGCATCGGCGGATGCGTCGAGGTTGCTAAGCACCGAGCCCTTCTGCGTCGGTTTGGGTTCCGACATTGCTTCTGTGAGTGTGGAAGGGGAGGTATGATGGGACCAACGAGTCGTTCTGCTTCCAGTGCGCGTCAGAGTCGGGCAAAGTCGTCGACTAGGGGCAATGTCAGATGTTGGCCGTGCACGGCAAGCAAGAGATGGTTGCAGATGAAATGACAATTGGAGACCGAAAGCTCGAGCGTCGAAAGACAAGGCTGGTGAGAGCCGTGTGGTTGAGCTGGGTTGCCGGGAAGAGTAGGTGGTTGGCAATGGCTCCTGCAAGATCGAGCCTCTGGAATCAAGGACCACTGTGATCGGCGCCGATGATAAAGTGGATGGCGTAGATGCTGGTGACGGTGGGATGTGGCGAAGAGAGACGAAGGCCGGTGGCAAGAGCGGATCAATGTGCTAGCGCGTGTGAGAGCGTGACGGTGGGAGGTGGTCGAGTGACGAGAGCGAGTCGAGGGGTGCTCGTCTGGGCGGCGGTAAGACCGAGCGAGAGTTCCTGATCGGGATGCGAGACGGAGAAAAGAGGTGCTCGCCCAGCAGAAGCCGACGGTGCAGCGCTGCCCTCACCACCGCGGATGTCGGGTGGATTGAACGGGATGGGGTGCGGCGGCCGGCCTGGCAACGGCGTGGCGCTGCATGGCGTGGGCCGGCAATTGGTGCAGGCCAAGCAAGGTAAGCGGAAGAGGGCCCCAGTGGATCAAGCGAGAAGAAGCGGCTGTGCGGTTCCGGTGAGTTATGCGCTTTGACGAGGATCGACGGCGACCCGGACGCCGAGAGAGCGCGGCTTTGGGGGTCCGCCACTCGGTGTCCATGAGAAAGCCAGCGCAGGCAGCGGATGACAGTAGCGCAGAAGCACTGTATCGGCGCGCGCTCAAACTGGACCCGGAATGCGTTCCCAGGTCAACGCGCCAAAGCTTCGGGGTCCTCCGTATCCAAAAATAAAGCAAATTCGCGCTTCAGCCGATCAGGACCACGACCACGGCTCCGACACGCGCGGCTGCAACTGCGCTGACGAGCGAGCGAGCCGGTGAACCTTGTTGCCATTCGGAGCCAGATCCGAAGCGATGCCAGCCTTGGCCAAAAGCTCTTTTGTCTTTGGTAGTGTTGGTCATCGCAGCCGCTCCGTGTACATTTACAGCAATCAACGCGGCAGTGCTCGCCGGCCAAGCTCACCGGCCGAACCCGTTCATCGTTCGGGCTCCGATCGGCGCGCGTTGCCCGAACGCCTGCTGCCGATTTTGGTACAGGTCCCGGCGTCATAATTCGGCCTCGCCCACCGCCGCACTCAATTTGTGCGTGGCCTCGACTTGCTCGATATTGGTCTGTTCAGCAAGCGTCCGCTTGTTCCGTCAAGCCGAGACGATGCCGTTCCACCGTTTGACGCAAGTCACGCGGCGAACCGTGCCATGCAGGCGCCTACAGCTTTTTGTCAACTTGGCCGATACCGACCGCCGCTTCCTTTTTTTTGGTGAATTTTCGGACCGACCGCGTTGTGCAAAGCACCGAACCCCGGTTTCACTGCACTCTCCCTGGACGCGCAGCGGTCCTGCCTCGCTTAGCGAGCCAATGCCGGCGCTCGCTTGCCGCCTCGTCAGCAAGGCTTCTCATAATCCTGGGTCAGGTCAAAGGCACAACCCTTACATTCGTTTGCCACGCAGTCGAGCAACTCGCTGCCGAAGGCGCTTTTCGGCCTCCTCTGCTCGGATTCGAGCCTCCGAAGGTAGCCCGACGTGACCCACTCCTGCACAGTCGCCCTCGCCCCCTCGCTCGTCCCGCAGCGCCGTGCATTTTCTGTTCTTGAAATTGACCCGCTCGAGAGGCGCATTCGGGATGTCGGCGAACCACACGATCGGGATCGGAAGCGCCGCGCCCTCTGCTGCCACCCTCCCTGATCGCCGTCGATGCACAGCCCCTTGCTTCGCCCTCCTTGGGTTCGAAGCAGCTACCGTCCGTTGATGCGAGTGGCGCTTGAGTCAAGGCATGCATCTAAACTCATCCTGAAGCCGACGAGGATGTTGAGGATGGTGAAGGGGAAGGGCTTGCGCGCGCATTGTGCAAATTTGGCGGCTCTCAACCCGCGAAGAGCTGATTCCACGCTCTGGCAGCGACCGGCAGCGCCAGACGACGTGGGCAGCCGTCGAGGCATCAAGGTGGGTGAGCCGCTTGTCGGTTCCGTCTCAGGCTGCATGGTCGGCCTCTCCGTACAGCCAGAACGCTTGCTCCGTGGTTTGGATTTCTGCCGTGAAAGGGTCCCAGCAGCGAGCTCGAGCGCGCGCGCGAATTCCCAGTTCGATCCCAACTGGCCGCTCGGCAGCGGTGTGTCCAAACATAGAGCGGGACGACTGTGCAGCTTGAAAAACTCGATCCGCTGCAGCCCGACGCGCCTGCATGAGCGCACGGCGTAGCGCTCTTGCTCGCTACCGACCAGAATCCGCACGCAAGATTGGGTCAAAGCTTCGTCTTGGCCTCGCTGCAGGCGCTGCAACGCAACACATGGGTTGGCCGGCTCCTATCTCGCTTTGCACCGGGGGCTCGATCGGGTCCGCGTTCTGTATCTGGCCATGGCGGCCAAGCCGAGCACGCCGCAGCGTCAACCCCATCGCCCTTGACCCAACCACCCTAAGCTGGCAACGCCACGATACACGCCGGCATTGATCGAGACGGTTCCGAGCCCGATCTCGGGCGGCACGAGGTAACACTAACAAAGCTCTTCATACATCAGGCCAGGCTCAAACTACTGGGTCACAACGGTGCGACGGCGCTGATGGTTGCCGACTCCGTTGAAAGATGAGCGAGTTTGCGGACAGAAAGATGTCTTCGGCAATGCAGCGAGCCAGCACGCAGCAAGCTTAGCAAACCTAGCAGCCAGCCCTCCGCAGTGTGGCTCGCTTCGGCCCAGCCTCCGAGCATTTTGCATCGGATCGCGTGGTGTCCGCGTCTAGAAAGCCCGCAATGTCGGTTCTGCTTCTCTTAAAGTTCATGCCGGCTTGACTTGCACCGCAAATCCAGCAGCGCATCTCTCACCGCATGTACCCAAACAAGGTTTGAACTGCGGGCAGCTAAACTCTGCATCAACTTCGAGCCAACCATGGGCTCTCCTGCGTTCTCGCACATCGCCCGGGTAAATATCCCTTTCCCCAATGCAAGCCGAGCTACCAGACTTTGTTCTCTGCCCCAAGCCACTTTGCAATGCAGAGAGTTTGAAAACGATCCGTCGGAGTCGCAAGCCTAAATACTCGCAGCCCCACCTTTTCGGCCCGCTGGAGACGGCGGCACAGTGCTGGCAAGCCTAAAAAAGGGGGGCGAGGGGTTTTGAAGCCGATTCGGCAGCAGCGCCTGAGCCGGTCGCTTGCCGACGGAAGAGAAAAGAGACCGTTCGGTCGAGGTCCGATTCACCCAGGTGCGCCACCGAGCGCGTCAGCTCGCGGTGCTCAAGTTTTTGCCCTCGCACCCTCCCGCAAACCCTTGGCATCACGGGGCGAACAGCGGTTCCGTTCGGCTTTGCTTTTCACACCCCACCCAACTTTGACGGGAGGTCCATCGCGGATTGTTTAGGAGCACTCACCATATCAACATCTTAACACGCAACGTCGAAATGATTCGTGCAGGTGGCCCCATCTGGCCCGAAAGCCGCGAGTTGCAGCTAGTTTTTCTGGCCTTGTAAATTCCACCCGGGGGAAGCTTTCCAGTACCTCCATCGTGAGCTCCGCTCCCCATCGCGTCTTGCCCAGCTATGCAACGTCTGCTCGGACAAAGAATAACTTTTGATGGCATGCATGCTCGAAACCACTAAAATCATCATCTGAATGCAAAAGGTGACAATTTATGGCCAAAAAAGCGCGAATGCTAGCCGATCAGACTGTTGCACGAGGGACATTTTGCCACGTTTCAGTAGGATTCAAAGCAGAACGAGCGCTCTCCTTGAAGTGGTCGAACACACTCTGCTGTCCACTGAGCGTTTCAGACCCGAAGGATTTGTGTCCCGACAATCGAGCATCGGGATGTCCTTTCCACTGCGCAGCTGCACGAGACGATGTCCAGAAAGGTGTCAAAGGTTCGAAATGTGAACGTCGACGACGACGATGACGACAACGACGACGATG